CCCCCCCCTTCCCCCCCAATCGCGCAAGTTCAAGACATGCTCTCAATGCAGATCAGTGTCTGATAGCGCACGTGCACAGAGCATAAAGGTATGTATATTTATTTTCCTCCGTGCTACTTTCTGAATATATCTACAATCGGTCTCACAGGGATGGACCGCACGCAGTGGCCTTGGACGTCCAGACAGCAACAGCCCTTTGGTTAAAGTGCATGTGTCGAGTAGCTGGACGTCGTGGTGGCTAGACGTTATGCGAGTCGAACACTCCGCGCAAGCATTCTAGTCTACAAGTCAGAACTTCTGCACCATCTGCTTGCTGACAAGATGGGTGTGGGTGGCTCAGGTGCATGTCGACGCCTTGACGACTCGGCTGTTGATCGTGAATGGTCAATCAGGTACAATTGAGGCCAAGCTGGGCAGTTAGCAATGACAACCATGACCACAACTGCCCTTGGACGCTGTCCATAAACACTACCGTCCTCTTATTTTGCGGGTGATGCTGAGTCTGGATTGGACGTCCATGTCTTGTAGAGATGGCCAACTGGGCTTGTGGGTCCAGTACGTACATTGCCGATAGAGCGACGGACATTGCTAACCATTGTGGCTGTAGGATCCCGGGGTGAGAGGCAGCAGGAATGCACCCGCCGCACGCAGCAGGCTCTCGAATGGGTTGAAGACGTCGTTGTGGCCATTGGAACTTGGGCAGTGAGTTTTGCAATGGAGTCAAATGCAGAGGGGGAGCTGGACACCAATACCGACATGGATCAATGCGGAAACAAACAGTGGAGCTAGACATCAAGGAACTGCAGAGCGTCGTCATCATCAAGACGGCAGCAAGTCCAAGGAGCTGTGCAAGACTGGAAGAGTCATAGCGGCCGCATGGCGGGCTCCCAGGTTATGTATCTTACCCTGTCAACAGCAACCAGTCTCAGTTGGACCGTCGCGACTTGGCAAGATGGGCTTGGCAGTTGGATACGTACGTTTCTATGTCCTGGGCCACGCAATAGGTGTTGCTAACTGCTGTTGCAGTTGCCCATTCTCGGAGCAGGTGGGAATGCACTTGGACCTGGGCAAGTCGTTGGCGTGGATGCGGTGGTGCAAGCAAACACGCAGGAGAGTGGACCAGCACGGAAGCTTACAGGAGGAGGAGGATGTTGAGGAATTGCAGGGCGTTGGAGGCTGTGGAGCTATGTGTGAGTCTAACATTGTCTATCCTACCGTGTTGACGACACTTGGTGTCGGTTGGACTGCCGCCTCTAGTAGAGGCAGCTGGGCGCATACGGTTGTGGACCCGGGCCGTGCAATGGGGCGTCGCTAACACATTGCACTTGCAGAATCCTAGAGGGCGGGTGGGAATGGACCTGGATGCAGGCAGGTTGCGTTAGCAGGCATAGACGGGCACGAGAATGAACGGACAGAAGTGGACATTGAGGAGCTGTGTGGTGGCGGCCCAACTGCTCGCACAACGGACTTTCAGGCCTTGTATCCTGCCCTGTCGACAACGGTCAGTCTCTGTTGGACCGCCGCCACTCGGCGAGATGAACTTGCTTGGATGTTGAACATGTACGTTTTTCGTTCCTGGGCCGCACGATAGGGTGCTGCTGACCACTGCGGTTGCAGAATACGCTGTCAACAGCGATTGGACCGCCGCAACTTTGGGGGGAGTGGGCTGCTGGTGGCACGTACGTTTCTGTTTCCTGGGCCGCACGATTGGTGATGCTAATTGTTGCCGTTGCCGACTGTCAGGGCAGGCGGGAATCCACTTGGACACGGGCAGGTTGTTGACGTGGATGCGGTAGCATGAGCAAATGCGCAGGCAAGTGAATCAGCGCAGAAACAAACCAGAGGAGGAGGCAGCAACAAACCGGAAGAGGTGGACATTGAGAAACTGCAGGGCATTGGAGGCTGTGGGGCTGTGCACATGAACTTTGTGAGTCCAGCATTGTGCATCTCACCATGTTGCTGGCTGCGTCTCGTGGAGGGTAGTTGGGTGCGTACGTTTGTGGGACCTGGGCTGCGTTACAGGCGTTGCTGACCACTGCACTTGCATACTCCTGGGGCGGGAATGCGCCTGGACGCAGGCAGGTCGTTAGCAAGCGCAAAAACGAATGGGCGGAGA